ATCGTATAACACGTGGGCTTGGATTGCCCTCAGGGGCGAGCGAGGGTAGCCACGTGCGAGCGAGGGTTACGTCCTATCCATACTCATTGATTGGATGGAAAACAAAGATTATGCTATGGGATACCATATTATATCGTTGAATAACTTAAAATAATGATATGTGCGTTCTAGAACTTGACTCGAATAAATTTAGTGTATGAATTATGAATTAGGTGCAAAAAGTTACCCCGGTTCCCAATAGGGACGAATTATTATTTTTAAGCTGCAAACGATTTTTCTTAAACTATTCCCAGCGAACGCGAAATTTATTGTTCTTATATTAATTTTATGGAAACCCTTATTAATAAACACGCACCAAATTTCGCTGCCTGGGTCCCCGGGTAATTATTCGGAAAAGTCGGTCTATTGAACAGATCATGGGGATAGACAAGAATTTAAATTTGCTTTTTTGTGTTCGAAAGTCGGCACTGGAAATTTAGGCCGATGTCTGAGATGTATTGAAGCCGTTCTGTAGCCATGAACGAATGAGACGTTCATAGAAATTATTTATGTATGCTTTAGAAATTTAGACTCAAAGTTTCGCATGTTTTTAATTGGAGCTTAGTACAGCTTTTATTTACTCCCCAAACCGATGCACAACATCTTCATGCATTTAATAATTGCTAAAAAGTTAGTATCAACGCAAGTCGATTCCCTGTTATTCGCCTGCCACTCATTAAACTCTTGATATTTCATCTTGATAAGACGAAGTTAAATATCACGAGGCATTTGCAAAATATTTATATGCAAGAAAGTGATGTTCAACTTCGTTAAATTAATTCTCATGATAATAAAACGAAGGTTATCGCAAGGTGTCATATTCATAAAATGATACATTATTTATCAGTAAACTTTTCTTTCATAACTTGAACTCTGCCAGGTTCCATTATTCAGGTGGCTTAAATTCTGTCAAATGTTCAGAAAAATTTGCATCAAGTGCATTAATTCGCCAAGTAGAAAATTTAATAATTTTTAGGATTTACGAAGTTTTAAGAAAAATAACATATTATTTTTAAATTTTCCAGTGAATGTTCGAGGCTAAAGCAGTCTATAGGCGTATAAAGCCTGTTTTTTTCTCTAAGTCTTTTCAGACCTAATATTAGACTACATTCAGGGACTGCTAAAATGTCTGCTAGTTGCCGGCCGCTGATATTCAGCCCGTTCACATAATATAAGATCTAAAAATAACAGCTGACTTTTTGCTCTCGGTGTAAATCCGGCGATGCTCACTAGCGCTAAGTCTATAATTCATGCACATTAAAGCCTGCATCAAAGCTTAATTGGCAGGCCGACAAAAGTACATTAAAATTAAATCGAAATGCAGTTCTGGATTGAGGATTAAATCCATGCAAATTAAATTCTGAGAAGAAACCAGAAAGGCAAACAAAACAAAGTGAGCAATTTCTCTGCATTTAATCAATTACTTATCTTGTATTGTAATCTATTTACATATAATTAAAAACTAGAAAACTATCATTAATGACTTTCCCCGTTAATAAATGTATTTTTCATCCAGGTTTTTGAAGCACGTATCCGAACTGTTTTAATGTGATTCCACAAAATAATTTTTGGCGTTGACAGGATGACATACTCTGCTATTATAGGAAACGGAATTCAATTTCTTTGTCAATTTATCTCAAAGATAAGTTCCGAAAATTCGAACGCGGTTCTCTTTGTTTATGTAGAAATAACGTAACTTTTAGGAATAATTATTATCACATGTTCTGTGAATTATCGCAGACTTTTTATTTTATTTTTTGGCAATGGAACATTTTTTATTTCCACCATGGAAGGGGTTGGACAGTAAACGTAGAACATTGTAGATAAGACGGTTCAGGAAGGCTCTCGAATATATTTTATCTAACTATATCTATCTCGTCTCAAATCATGATAGCTTCCTAATCTTTGGCAATTAGCGTCCGTCTAATTTTAATAACATACAAGCTGAATAGCATTCTGGTGTATCTCATAGATACTGGTAGGAAAATGTACAACTTTTAGATCTTTTACTGTAATAGCTTATATGTTATTTATTGTGATCAATCTAATTTATTACGTATGTGTTGCAAGAAAAACGACGCAGCGTTGAGAAATCCGTTCTCATCCTCATCCACAAAGACAATTTCACAGCAGTATAGTCTAAAATTAAGTCGTATTAAGTAAAAATAATTTTATTTTAGTGGATGCTCACATTTCATTATTCATCTAATAGGAATATGACGATTGCTTACAAGCTAACGACTTGACCCACAACCGCAAACTGTATGGTAAAAATTTCCCCACGTTTTCAGCGAGGATTCTTTTGATATGCTCTTCCATGAACCCAGTTTTTTCTTCAATTTAGTCTGCTGAATATTTCCAGTCTAGAAATATTTTGCATTCTATAGTAGCAGTATAAAAATTTTCGACTAAATTCTTGACTGCAAGCAATGTGTGAAACTTTACTTTTTTCTCGTAACTAATTTGGTATAATTTTCAGTTCGGTTTATAGTGTTGCCGACTCAAAATTTCATCACGTAATTAAATTTGGTTAATTACTTATGAATGTTATGGTATTAACTACAAATGAATGTACATTAGCTAATATTTATGACTAAAGATGTTTGCTATGTACAAATAAAGCTGGACGCGTTGAACTGTTTGAACTACAATGAAGTATAACGTTTAATATTTTCTACACAGTTTTCAACCACACATTGATTAGTTTAACGAAAAACAAACAACACTAACATTTTCGTAAACGCTCTTTAATCAACGCGAATTTTTTTTAATCATGACACACCAATCACTGAAAGTAATTAGAGGATATCTATAAATGATTAAAAAGTGATAAAAAATTTTGTTATGCTAGATTTATAATGCTTTATCGATGCATACATAGCTAATTATTCGTCGACGTGTCTCGTAAAAACCCGGGTTTCTATTCCAGTGTTGTACATCTGATATGAATGTGAGTAGCTCGTTAAAGGCTTAATGAGGACACCTAATTAAAAAGGCGAGAATTCCCGGTGCTCGACCTTGTTCAAAATGCAAATTCGGCGACTTGCCTGCGCAATTGCCACTATGGAAACTTTGGATATTATGCCCCATTTAAAACCTCACTAAATTCTGTCCCATACCGCCTGTGAAGATCACACGCGTGTAATGAAGAGCTGCGTTTCATTAAACCTTGTTATCTAAATATCAAGTGTTCCATTTATCCAAATCTCCGTATTCATGAAACTCCCCACCAGTAAAATTGTAATCCTAGGCAGCAGCGACATGAAAGCTCATGGCCGTCGGCGTGAGTGTGAGGGAAAATTGGCATAATCATGAGTTTTAAAATGGACATGGAGAGCCCAGGGAACGAATAACTTCGTTGTTCGCCAGGGCATAAATCGCCGTTTTATTAGCGAGGCCAGTGAATATTTATGGCGATAGTAATTAAAGTGGACGTAGTTTCATTGCTGGTTTCATACCAACACAGGAAGGTGGATAAATGATTGTTGTGATCCTGAACATGAAGAAACAATAACAATAATCGTGGCAATGTTGCAACATTGCTCATGTCAGTGAGGCAATAATGATCACGTTAATGTTGTAACAATTCTCATGTCAACCTTGACCCAATGCTTATGTCAACCAGGAAACAATGCTCATGTCAACCATTGGACAATGATTATGTCATCTATGCAACAATGAACATGTCAACCAATGAACATGTCAACCATGCATCAATGAACATGTCAACCATGCAACAATTCTCATGCCAAACATGCAACATTGCTCATGGCAGTGATGTCCACATAAATTATTATTCACAATTTTCTCTTTTAAATTATTTGTCTTCTTCATTTTCAAAATTATAACGGAAAACGTCATCACACTACCTGGCTTCCAAGGTTCTAAATGCACTCTCTCCACTTGCTATACCCCACGCCGGTCCGTAGGCTGCGCATTTATTCATTTTTCGCAGCCATCAGACTCCGATCTTCATTTTGCCAACATCGCGATAAATTACTTAGCTGAGCCGCTGTTATTGATATTAGGCTGCAATATCTTCATTATTATTATTATCCGTCAGTTATTATAATGTGGCAGTTTAGCAAATGAGAGCGCCGAGTCTCAATGGTTCGCTCTGACGGCAAATTTTAGCAGTGAAACCTTGAGGTGGTGGAGGCTTGCAGCCACCCGAGGCGCTCATCTCAGTAGTCTACTTAAGCTTATTGCCAATCACAAAACCATGAGAACGATCTCGCTGAATATTTAGTAGGCCATTTAATAATCCAAGTAATGTGCAATTTAGTCGTAATATTGGTAGCGAGGTGAAATTCAGTCGAGATAATCGGATCATTGTGAAATTCAATCGTCATTGCAGTTGTGGTTTGAAAAGCCGTCGTAGTAATCGAGGCGTCGTAGTAACCGTAGAGATTCAGTCTCAATAATCGTGGGGTTAGTAAATTAATTCTTAATAGTCGTAGAGATGTGATATTCGGTTAGAATAACCGTAGTCATGTGATACTCAGTCGGAATAATCGTAGCGATGTAAAATCAGGCGCAATGATTGGAAGGATATTCAGTCGTTCAAATGGCAGCAAGTCATCCAGGAATTCAACAGACAGTTAAAAAAAATAATTGCGTTGCATAAGTCAATAAATATTTAAATTGCCAAATGATTTTGTTAAAATACTGCCACATTCATATATAACTTGACGCTTTTCATGAATTTTTTGTTGTCTCGCATGTATTTATACTCAACTATGTTTGCAAATTATAAGTAACTCATGATTGCATTTTGATTCGATTTAATGTACAATACATGCTCAACGCTCATATATATTTTTGCTTATACCATTGAGAACAAAAATAAATCTCAGTGGAAGTGTATAGAAACAAGGATCTAATATTAATCGCACTAATTTTATTTTCAGGAAATCATTGTAACATTTGCCCAAATTAAATTATTTCCTTCTCCTTAACAGACTGCTGGTGGTGACGTGTGTTGTGGTGAGCTGGGCAGCGGCAACAGAGCTGGCGCGGGTGCGGCAGAAGGGAGGAGTGCACGTGACGTCCTCTACCCTCAAGTGGGTCATGGGCATGGGACGACGACTGCCTCCACACTCTGTACCCGTGGTCGAGGAAGACCCCAGCACAGTCTGGTGCAGGGTGAAGCAGCACAGCACTTACACTGCAGGGGCTCTGCACAAAGGCGTGTGCACTGTGCCTTTCATCAACGCGGTTCATACTTTCGATCAAGACTTCGAGGTGCTGGTATCGCTGAATGGCTCATCTCGCGTGCTCCGGAAGCCCTGGGACAAGTACCAAGCACCGCCACCGAATGCCGTGGCCGCGGAGCACCACTGTCTGCTGGCCCTGTTCATGGCCGAGGATGGTACGGCCCACGCCGGATACCTGGAGCCTAGGGAACGGAGAGCTTACATAGTACGGGGAACTAAGGTCGTCAAAGAAGAATCCGCATCCATCTTGGTGGAAGATGAGCCTTTGCGATATGATCTCCGGGACATTAAACTTGATGGCCTCAGGACCGAGGTGAGCCCTGATGAAGTCGAGCTCACGTCCGTGACGTTGCTCAATCCAGGGTCCACGCATCAGAGGATAGTTGAACCCGCGACAGTAACAGTGAGGCATCTGGTTTACTGGGGCCGCGTGAAGGGTACTTTGGCTGGTCGCAACGCCCTCGTGATCTCTCCTGACGGCGAGCAGCGCCACCTGGTGTGGGGTGATCAGAATGAGCTGGACCGAGCGCACCAGCTCTTGCTGGAGGCTGACCTACCACCAGGAACAGGATCAAACGCCAGGGTGTTGGCCACAATCCGCAAAACCGAGGCACCCTACACCGGCAAACTTACATCCATTTACGCGGATGGCGGTCGATTAGCGCGAACGATCCAAGGCTTACACATGGACCAGAGACTCATCGAACTAAGAGCCGTCTACTCCCCGCCCTTCTACCTGCACAACAAAACCGAGCTCGACGTCCCAGGACTTTCTCGCATCCTCTACCAGTCCACAACAACGACCAGCACTACTACCACTACAACTTCAACTACAACCACTACAGAAACACCAAAAACGAAAACAGCAAGTTTTCCTGAGAAGCCTCAGAGCGATTCACTGAGTCTAGGAGTCGTCACTTTATTTTCAGGAACAGTTCCTGCTACAGCTCCCATGCAAGTCTATTTCTTGCTCTCCTCTGCGTTGCTCTTTTTCCTTCTTTAATAATGTTTGGAAATTCGTCACGGGCAGACATCCAGTGATCATGTACCTGTTTCTGAGATCAATACTGGGAAATCTGAAAATATTCATATCAATTTTGAGTAATTGTATTAAAAGACTAATAAACATATCAGACGATCTTATTGATAAGTTTCATAGCTTGAGTTGGATTGTGGGAACGCTTAGGTTTGGAATCAATAAAATTTGTTGAAATGTTTGACCAAAGTTCATCATGTACCAGGATTTAATCATTAAAATTATTTGCCTGCTTCCTCCAAAAAAATCTCCGATAATGCATAAAGGACCTGCATAAGTCAGACGCCTTTTCCAATTTGAAAATAACCATGAATGATGGCTCCATTTTATTCTTAATCTTATAAATGAGACATTATGCTTTCTAGCTATTCTGTATCATTAAAATGGTATCTTTAGACCTGAACCATATCACGAGGTTGTGTGTAAAGCTAGTCTTAGTGTCGAACGATAACTTTTCTACGCCTAGATCGTAATTTTCATCGGTGTACTTGGGCTTTATTATTAAATAACATACGGTCTAATTAAGTTTATAATTAAATATTAGGACTTACGCGTAAGATTAATGAATATTATCATCTGACAGGAAACATTCTAGAGAACGTTATTTATGTCTTCATGCTACTATATTTATTCAAGACTTACTAGATAACTCGACATTTTAAATCATCAATAATCGATCATCATCGATCACGTAATTCGCCCTCAAACTGTAGGTAGTAACCTAACATGATTAAAACATACTTCAAAAGCGATAATCACTTGTTAATCTATTAGCAAGAACTTTATTTCATTTGATTAGTAAAAAATTCAATATAATCCAACTATAACGTCTTTAAACAAATATCCTCTTGAAATAGCTCTTCAACATTCTAGTAAATCTAAACTGATTACCTTAAAGCTCCTCGTTAGTTGGATAAAATATACATGAATTAACTGCAGTTGATAACCTATCCTGAACCCGGTAAATGTCATTGTATTCTGAATTGTTTAATGTCATTATTAAAAACACATGATATTCAGAGGCAGATCTTATCTTTTAGATTACACGGTTATAGGGTTCGAATTGCGTGTTTTAATCACGCGATTTATTGCGTATTTCGTGTTCTACAGCAAAAATAAATGTGGAAAAGCGCCTGCTAGTTTCCCGTAGCCTACTCGGCAGAAACAGTGCGCGAATTCAACTTTTTCGTGGCGCTCGCAATGCCATCAAACGCATGCAAACGACCTTGTGAAGTTCCGCGAGGAAACCCGTCAAGTTTTTAAATGAAATGGAACGAGCTTTTACCGCCGACTGTACGGCACTGCAAGAACTTAAATACTGAGGTAGGGAATCATTTCAGTGTATTCGGTTACTGCTGGCAAACAGGGTGTGGATGATATGTTCTTGGAAATAATGATTCAAATTAATTTACTTGTGATGTGTTTCGAAGTTTCGAAGAATATTCAAGAAATATGTGATTTTATATTATACATATACGAAGAATTTTTTTTTTCGTAATAAAAAATTTTGTAATTTGTGCTATATTTTGTAGAATATTCAGAATGTTTATAACGACGAACATTTGAACAATTATTCATCCAACAACTCGTAAAATGAAAGAAGGTTATGTCCTTGACCTAATATGAGAAGTTTTTATTTATTTGAACAAGTATTACAATCCGTCATGACCAACAATCGAAGATTTAAAAGGGAAAAACGGCAAAAAATAATAAGATCGTGTAGAATAAGACGATACATTCATAAGATAATAAGTATTTATCTTCAACATTAAAATAATAGCAAGCACTAAAACTTACATCTGATGTAGAACTCCAAATATTTTTACCGCTGAACATTCGATTCGTATAAGTATTTTAAACAGAAAAAAATTAGGTGGACGAAATAGCTATAGGCTGACACAGAAACATAAATTCCCAACTTTCTTGAATAAATATAATATCTTAATGATCGATGACATTAATGTTGTCATGGTAACATGCAAAAACAGGCATTTACAAGGAAAACTTTCATCATTGCTTAATATTTCGGAACATATTATAGAGGCAACGCTTCATTTTTTCTCAAATCATATGACATTAAAACAATTGGAGCTTCATCAGTAATAGATATATTAGACAAGGAAGCATCAAAAATGACTCAAATTAGGCCTCAGAACTTTGCAGGTTTTACCATAAATTGTCAACATTAAAATCCGAAGAAAATTTCAGCAACTGTTCCTCATTTACAAGAGCAATCACTTGCATGATTCGGCTAAAGAGGATATGTGCTAAATAATAAGAAATTTACTTTTAAAATTTAGAATATTTATATAACCTGCAATCCTACAATTTCAACACACATACAAAAATTGTAATAAATTATTTATAGTCATCATTCAAATCTGAAAAATATTCTCAGAAAGATTTTAGTTCAGGAAATATAAATTATTCATTCAAATTCATGACGTCAACAGATCATCCATCAGTTCTTTAAGAGCGCATTAACTTCATTCATCTGCATCAATTTATAATGATAGCTTCACTACCTGAATAGAGACATATAATAAGTTGTTTATCACAGCCATAAAAGTTGGATAAACTATTGCGAAACTTACGTGTACGAATGTACATCTACAAACCACGTGTTCGTAATGGACAGCCCTTGAATCATTTGTTCATCATTGACATCAACCTGTTCCCTGTGTTCGTAATGGACATCACCTTTCCCCCTGTGTTCGCAACTAATGGAAATCCCTCGGTCCCGTGTTCGTTATGGACATTTCCCGGTCCCTAGTTCGTTACGGGCATTCACTGGTCCTGTGTTAGTTACGGACATTCCCTGGTCCTGCGTTCGTAATGGATATTCATTGGTCCCGAGTTCGTTACGGACATTCCCCGGTCCCGAGTTCGTTACGCACATCCCCTGGTCCCGAGTTTGTTACGGACATTCCCCGGTCCCGAGTTTGTAATGGACATTCCCCGGTCCCGAGTTCGTTACGGACATTCCCCGGTCCTGTGTTTGTAATAGACATTCCCCGGTCCCGAGTTCGTAATGGACCAGCCTGCGCTCCGGCAAGCAATTTCTAAGGCATATAAAGCGCCTTTATTCTCGGTAATTTTCTCCTTAAATTTATGTAGCACCTGCTTCGGCAACCGCCTGTATCTTGACTGCCGGGGGAGTTATGACGACCAATCTTCCTAGACGCGCTCATTTTCATGTCGTATCGAACAAATAAACTCAACTTCCATGTTCAACGAAACTATAAATCTTTTAAATTTCCCCCTGCAAATCTCTTTGAATTTTTATTCATTAAAGTGTTTGTTGGCATAACAATATATGTTGTAGAATATCTAAGAAATAATCATGTTTGCAGGCATATACATGTACTTTGCTATGTTGGAACTTAGCCCCCCAAGCAATAGAAATGAACTAAATACCTATACAGGCAAGCTAACTTGCAGCATCAATATCATCAAAAATATTTCGACATATCACAGATTTTTAGTTTAACATTTAAAACTTTGGAAATCCTTCTAAACATGAAGTGGTTGTGCTGTTATAAAGCAAAAATGTTTTGAAAAAAAAATTTAGAATCGCTTTCGAACTTAGCAGCAATATGTGTTGATAAATGTATGACGTCAGAAATTATGAAACGTATTTTAAATCTGATGGCACTCAGCAGATTCCATAAACATTTAATCAGATTTCTAAAGCTAATAAAGTGTTGTGACTGAATAACTAAAATCTTGATAACATCAAACAGAAAACTGTTTTACCGATAAGACAAGGCACGGGAGTTGAGTTCTGCGTACAAAGGAGTGCAAATGTTGTAGGTTTAGCCGTAGAATTAGAACGTCAATGTCGTGCACACTGTCATGTTTTCTAACGCTAGACCCTCTTTTGTGGATGGTTTACAATAAAATTCTTAAAATATTCGTTTTTTCTCTCCTTTGAGATATTAATTAGTAAAATAATTGAGCTGAGCTACCGGCCACAGCAAGGCTAATTTTGGATGCCGATAACTGATCCAATCCTGCTAAGCTTCATAGCTTTTGGGAATGTATTTTTGTTTTTTTTACATTCGTTCAGTCATGAACTATTTAGACATGAGGCCCTACAGCTAACTGGAAGGATTGAAAGTTTATTGTAGTGAAAAAGGAAGACCAATGCAATCATAAAAGACTGTGAAAACGGAAGACTCAATTTAATCTTTAAAAACTGAAGACAGCAGATTTCATGCGAAATCTGCTAGTTCAAATAGAAACATTATTCAAGTTCATGCAGGTTCAAAAGGAAACATTATATAATTATTTTGATAAGACGTTTAAGGAAATAATCATCTTTTTACATTGTCACTTCAATGTTCACTCGCAAAAAAAATCAGGATCTTAGATCATTACTAAACTAAATTTTTATCTGAAACGAAGATGACAAAAACGTATTTTTCCTGCGTTTTTCCTACGTAACAACGTATTTTCTTAACAAAACACATCTGTAAAATAACAACGATTTTCTCGAACTCTAGCAAAAATGAGGTTGTTTCTACGTCTTCCTAAGACGTCGCTGCGTCCTTGAAGCAATTTGCAACTCATTGACCCAAAGGACGACCCAAAACCAATTTACCCCGCCAGACGTGCTCTCCCAGAGCCTCTAGGCCAGAATGAAACCTCGAGGGTCTCCTGAACCAATTATGCTAGCTCTCAAATGCACTGCAATTGAATATTGAAACAATGAGCAATTTGATATCGAACTTTAAGCCTGAATTTAAAATTCGCTTTGAATTTACGAATTAGTTTTATATTTTAGAAAATAATACTAACAATTTTTTTAATTTCTGATTTCGAATTGTATTTCTGACGTCGGGAGATGCTTCCACGTTTCGAATGACTCGTAGAGACAATAATATTGCAGTATGTATTTTGTGTCATGCACATCAACTCTGAGTGGATAATTTTGGAAATGGTGTGTTCCCACCGGCATTTTAATTCACGATAAAAATTGGCAATGAAATTTTTTTAAATTAATCCTTTTAAGGTTGTCTGTTTTTTTGAACAAAATAAAACTTCTGAACATAAGGACAGAAGCTTTTTGGTCTTTCTATGTTTTATCCTGGGGTTTTCAAGGCGAATTTATAGATGGAACGAGCTCTCGACCCTTTTTAGAGAAAAATAAACTGGAATTTTTTTAATAAAAATCATCGGCCGACCTGGCCTTGAGACTCCTGCTTTTGAGGTTGCACTGGCCAGGCTTGGACAATGTTTATTCTTCGACGAAATTCAGTCGAGCTCTGAAAATAATATAGAAAGTAATATTTGATCTGAACGGTTATGTTTAATGTTATTTCGTCCACTCAATAGGGAACTCAAGAATATCCTGCGTACAACACGTAAGAAGATGTATTTTATAGTGCAAACACAATATTTCCAACGTCACGTCGCACTTACTTTCTGTATTTCGGTCTGTGTAAATAAATATAACAATTTATATTGTTCTTATAAATTAGTACAACTGAACTACTCAATTCAGACTCAAACGTAACACGGAAAGATTCTATTTCTTTTCACTCTCAAGTTTGACGCTCACGAAAACTGATCGGGCACTTCGCAATTGCGGGAAAAATTCTTAGGCCATCTTTACAGAAAAATAACCACTTTCTGCGAAGAAAGCTCTTTGAATTTACTTGGATTTTTTCGTGTGCCCTAACAGTTTCTTATCTCTGTCCTGCAAATTACAATGATGTTCTGTTCGTTCTGTAAAAATGAATAGGAAAATTTTTTATTATTTTACATCAGAGGTAAGGTAATAAACCAGGTAATTACGGAATTCAGCGTGTTTAATACTATGAATTATTTCAGGAACATCCTTCTAAAATTCATGTATTTTTCTGTAGGACACTAATGAAATGCATCCACACTCTATTTGTGATGCTCCTATTTGGGAACTTCTTTCTAGCCGTGAATTTTGATGCACACTTCCATTATTATATGAATTACTAAAGCGCATTGAAACCAATAATTCAGAATAAAAAAATACGTAGAAAACTCACCAAATTTCGGTGAAAAGTTGTTAATGGAAATGTGCTGTATTTTCCAGGCTTTTTTTCTTAGAATTTTTTTGGCGAACGAATTTGAGTATCGGCTTCATGTCATATGATGGATGTGTAAATGACGACAGAAGCGTTGGAATATTATCCAAAACATTTTAGGGAAACCTTTATTCTATAACTTTCTTCCTCAACTAATTTTTGAACGTTAGAAGGAAACCCGAAGTTATCCGTGTTCCTTATAGTCTCAAAGAAATGTCAATCGAATTTTAAATATTAAAAAAGTATACTCAAATCCATCCCTTACGAAGCACGGGTCTAAATCACCCAGTCGCGAATGAAGAAAAATTTTTATAAAAACACGAATATTGGACATGGCTCGAGGCTCAGATGGTATGAATGGTAGCGGCCGTACTTTTAACGAGCTCAGAAACGGCAAGCTATTTTCTTAA